TGACAGTCAACAAATGACTGACAACACAAACTACAGAGTCACTGTGACAGTCAACAAATAACTGAATACACAAACTACAGAGTCAATGAGACAGTCAACAAATAACTACAGAGTCACCGTGACAGTCAACAAATAACTACAGAGTCACTGTGACAGTCAACAAATAACTACAGAGTCAATGAGACAGTCAACAAATGACTGACAACAGAAACTACAGAGTCACTGCCAGGTGTGTGAGAATAACATGACTTTGTCTCTCCATCCAATAACTACACCTGCATGTGTGTGTGTGTGTGCGTGTGTGTGCGTGCGTGCGTGCATGTGTGTGTAACATAAGTTATAAGAAACGTTCCTCACCTTCTTCAAGCTGTGCATTTTGTGCAGCTCCAGCAAGTTCTGGAACTCGGGGCTCATCTCTGACTCTAGGGAAAAAAGGAAAAATCCAGGGAAAAAAATCAACTATTTTTTTTTCCAAAATAGCTTGAAACTCAAACTGTCTTTTGCTTGAATTTCAATCTGGTTATTCCACTTTTGCAGTGCAAATAGGATTAAAGAGCACATTTCAACTTCTACATAAAGAAATTTGAATGAATACTAATAAAGTGGAAGAGCAGAATTTTTCCTACATCTTCCTTGACATTATCTTTCTTCTCACAAATCATTCAAAAGAAAAGGAACTTGACGACAAACTCATCACAAAAAGGAACTTGACGACAAACTCATCACAAAAAGGAACTTGACAACGACAAACTCATCACAAAAAGAAACTTGACAACGACAAACTCATCACAAAAAGGAACTTGACAACGACAAACTCATCACAAAAAGGAACTTGACAACGACAAACTCATCACAAAAAGGAACTTGACAACGACAAACTCATCACAAAAAGGAACTTGACAACGACAAACTCATCACAAAAAGGAACTTGACGACAAACTCATCACAAAGTATGCGGCCAAAACTCGGCACTCACCCCCCAGTTTGGCCGGCCTTGGTTTGTTGTTGTTTGTGTTGGTTGCTGGCACTTTCCTGTCGGAAGCGGCACCCTCCTTGTCCTTGGCTTGACCGTTCTTGGAAGCGGCACCCTCCTTCTCCTTGGCTTGGCCGTTCTTGGAAGCGGCACTCTCCTTCTCCTTGGCTTGGCCATTCTTGGAAGCGGCACCCTCCTTCTCCTTGGCTTGGCCGTTCTTGGAAGCGGCACCCTCCTTGTCCTTGGCTTGGCCGTTCTTGGAACTGGCTTGAGACCTGGGGATTTCCTCCCTCACTTTCTGTCCCGATGACTGCAACGATGTGGGACTATCGGTGGGGCAATCATTAGCGAATCTTTTCAAAGTCTCCGACACGGCAAACTTGTTCGGCTTGGGGGCACTTTCTTTGGTCTTCTTAGCAGCGATAGGGGACGAAGTCGCGGCACAGGACGTGACCTCTGAACCCCGGCCACCAGAACGTTGATCCGACAATAACATGTCCGAGTTGACTTGTCCGTCCGGAGCACTGCCATCCTGCTCATGTGACTGCATTTCTTTTCCTTTTTTGTCCGGCGGGGGACGATCAGTCTCGGCAGACGCAATCACTGGACCAGTGACGGCATTGCCATTGCTGTTTGTTGGCACAACACTGGGGGAATTTCTCTCGTGATTTTCAGACTTCTGGTTTCCACTGTCGGATCCCCCTTTGGATTTTTTCTTTTTCTTCTTTTTCTCCCAATTTGTCTTTGGATTGACCAACGGTTCTTTGCAGTTGGGATCCTCCGCTAGAGGCAAAGGTTGTGCAGAGTCATTTAAGTTTAAAAGATGTTTCAAGTCATTTGTGGCCTTGTTCTTGTCAAACCCTTCAGCCATGACAGCTGGAACTGCAAGGGGGGGGGGGGGGGGGGAAGCAAACAACAAAACTTACTATATGAGCCATTGGCAAAACGTGGGGACAAACACACACATCTCACATTAGTGTGCATCAAATGTGATGCAAAACTTACACATGTCAAATATAGGATGTAGAAAGTAGTCACTGCCTTCAGCGTCCGGTGACGCACAAAAATTTTGCATTGAATGTGACGTACTGGACTGTTTTGCGAGTTTTTAGGCTACTCTGTTGAATATTTTAGTGAAATTGTGGTGTTTACATTGGATTCCTGGAACAAGAGTCTGATGTGTGAACAAACTTCGAGAGATGGATCATTTCTGTGGTTATAGATTTAGCTTTTGTGCTTAGTGATGACGTTTAGGGTGTCGTCATGCAGCCGTACAAGACTGACTAACGTACAAGAAATTACATTGTCCTAAGAGCAAACATTTTTAAAGTAATGTGTGCTCTCTTTACTCAAACAAATAAACAAACATGTCCTTGTTTATCTGTCTAACTCAAAAATACACATTTGTTCTTTGTTGATATGATATACCTTTTTCCAATACATTGTGTCACTGTGTCATCATTGTTATGTACAAGTAATATTTGTCATCATTGTTGCTAATATCAATAAGTTTTCAACATATATATTTCATACATATGCAAGATTCATTTAGAAACAAAATACGCCTTTATTGATCTGTGTATCTCTTAGTGCAAATTTGTTCTTCGTAGGCATGATTTTACCTTTTCCCAGTATGTTTTGTCATCACTGTTATGTACGAGTACTGTTTGTCATAATTAGCAACATAATTGTGATCGTCCACTGTCTTTGAAACCCATATCTCCAAAACCCTACATCTCCTTGCTCTGATACTCTAGGAAAATGAGCACTAAATGTCAATCTGTGACTGACAGAAAAGAGAGTCAAATTGGTAAAAAAGACATTTTTGCACCACCGAGTCTCAAGAGTCTCACGTTTTGGCAATTGCTCATATACAATTACATCAGCGAGAAATGGGACAGGTCAGACCAGCTTCTTATCCAAATCTGTCACACAAAGTTCCCCCCACAAATAAACATTACAGATGTATTCTACAAACCATACTGAAAATTTTGGTATATAATATAATTTATATTTGTTAATATTTATTTTAATTTGTGGTCCCAAAGACCTGTGAACTGAGCACTAGTCCCCATCTCAATTCGCCCTCGGGAAAAAAATTTGTGTACAGGCCGAAAATAATACGTAGTGAATGAGTTAAGACGCTGGTTTTTAATTTTAAAAATAATAATTTAATTCGAAGAGTTTTTATTTCGAACTATACCACCCTAAATTCATTTTAAAACTTTCTGCACTTTAGACCAATGAAGGTTTCAGGGGGGCATGCCCCTGAAGTGAAAATAAAATCTGGGGGCTACAGGGCATGCCCACCCCCTCCTTTCCCATACTTTAAATTGATGTTTCGCTACTAGTATTAGGTTCGAAATATTAGATTTTCTTGAAAATAATTGATTTGCTTCAGTTTTAGTGGCCATTCATTGTGTGATCTGCAACAAAATACTGCAGCTTGACCCCCAAAGTAAAGTATCTGAGTGAGGGAGTGAAAATAAAAATTTACTCTAAAGCGGTGGCGGAAGTGAAAGTAAATATTTCGGAAATGTCTGCAATTACGCTTTGTGTTATAAAGTTCGATAAAGAACCATCAAGTATTTTAAAAACTATTGATTTGCAACGGAAATAAAGTCGACATTCGTGTTCAGCACACCATTATGCAGTACAAAATGGACATCTAGGTCTCTAGTAGCCAAGTGTGAGACGAGGAGAGGGAAAGTAAAAGAATACTAAATTAATTTGTTAAAAAGAAGACAATTTATTTGTATAAAAAACATAAAACTGAACAGGAAAAGGGCTAGGGCTAGGCTATAATACAGTACTTGAGCATGAGACTGTAGTGAATGTAAATTAATACCTAACCCAAAGAGTGTGAATGACTGCTTATCGTAAGGACTGTCGCGATGACATAATGACAAAGGAAGACCTCACGTAACCACCCTGGTCTTTCATACTGAAACTGGTTTCCTCCTCAGAAAGTTGACATAACAAAGTCTTCCTAGAGTCTATAGATCTAGATCTAGATCTAGATCTAGTTTTGGGGGACTCATGCTTAGGCATTCTCACCCACTGCGTTTTAACTTACATTGTCAAGTCTTTATAACACAAAACGTTGCAAGTGGTGCTGAAATGTGTCTTGCCTAGAGCATGTTTAAAATGCGAAGTTGTCGAGTCAATCGCCATCCAGCCGAACTGTTTTTCTCAGAATCGGAAGTTGTAAAAAGTTTTATTTTCTCGGAGTGACGTCCCTTGAAAGTTGAGATAATGTTTTTGGCTAAAGATCCCAAGACATTCCGATTACTTTTATTTAGGCCTAGGCCTAGACGGTCAGAGAACGTATAGGCCTAGGCCAATCAAGTTAAATTAACTATTGGCCAAGGACCATAGGAAATTAGGAACGATTTCTGAAAAAGCGATGGTCCAAAGTGTACAAAAGGCTGTATTTGTTTCACAAATGCCAGAATCTGCTCATACATTTTAGCAAAATCCTCTGGGACAATAAACCATTTATCTTAACTTGAGGCCTATAATAATGAATTTGAAAAAAAAATGTAGGCCTAATTATGAACAACACGTTTGCCCGGTGTATCATCTGTGCAGAGCATACAGTTACCCCCTTTTCAACATTTTACATCTATGACGCAGAGCGCTTACACGTTATGTTTATATCTGGGTCTATTCGTAACTTAATTAATTACACTTATAGCCAAGACTCCCTGGAGTCTTCCTGGCATTTTTTACAACGCACAAATGATAGATCAAAGCTAAAATGACATTAGTTGGCAAGGTAAAATATGACTTTTAAAAGAAATAGACAGGCCTGTAGTGTATTATAATAATTGTATGTTTGATAAGATTTACTGCTCTGGCAACTGCATGTTAGGTCATAATCAGTATCTAGGCCCCTAAGGTAGATCTAGCGACTGAGAAATAACTCTTATTCAAGCTAACTTGATACCCAAGAGCCTAGGGTACTACTGTGACATATTTTTTTCCGCGAACGCTCATACATCACACGCGAAAAAACAAATAAACAAACACACACACACACACACACACACACATACACGCATACACAAGAAGGCATATCAACAAATGAATGGATGGTATTTTGTAGCCTAGTTTAGCGTGGTATATTCTTCAGTCTTGGGCAAGAAGATTAAAAGTTAGTTCTTCTTGGTCTTGGGTGAAACGTTGCGATATATCGTAAATTTCAGTTTCACTTTTGAATTATGAAAGACTCGATTTCATCGTGATATTCGATTCTGCCTTTACCATAAATCAAGATGGCTGCGCTCTGTTTATGTTCTTTGATTCGATCATTCAGAAAATGTCGACAGAGTTTCTTGTAGAATTAATGTGAAATCTGCCAATGTCAGAAGTCATTCATCATAAGTATTGAAATATATTTCGTGATGCGTTTGCTTAAAAGTTTGCTGTTGCGAAAATCATTATGTTCCCTTCAAGTGGATATTTTCGTGGTGTGAACTGCCCGTTCTACGCCAGTGGTCTCTGTGAAAGACCTTACTGCCATTTTCGACATGCTAAAGTAGAAGAAAAGAAGGAGCCCCTGAGGAACGGCAAGTATCTTTGTGATGGTCCTGTAGACTTTAGGCCCATGCTTTCTGAAGGAGAAAGAGCTAATTTGTGGGTTCATTCTTCAAGTTTCAAGATCGGAATCTGAATTGAATAGATTTCTACTTTTTGTCATGCAGCCCCCCCCCCCCCCCCCAACCCCACCCCTAAAGTAAAGTGCCTAGTCCAAGTCAAGTGTGAATTCAATTTTAGTAAATCCTTGTACACTGAGTTGTTGCTAAATATAGCCACTAAAAATAAAACCTTCACAAATCAATTTGTATAAAATCAAAATAGCTTTCAGATCCACACACGGCGCAGAGATGCACTGATTTGGGGGCTAAACTGCTGAGATTTTTTAGCCATAGAGAACACACACTAGGTCACTAGGCCTATTATCTAGATTCTAGATAGAATCTACTATTTTGTTTTAGTAAATGTTTTACGGCACTTGCAACACAATAAGGTCATATATATATATATATATAAGTACCGGAGATTAGAGGTGTTACTAGAGAAACAAACACAAAAAAGAAGGAGGGGGGAGGAGATATTTAAGACAATAGATGTTTGATACAAGAAAAGAAGTTCAAGCAAACCACACCACAGCACCTGCCAACCACCCACAGATCTATTAGACTATATATATAATAATAATATCAGTATCAGTATTAATGAATTATATTTGTATGTATATGGTCACTAAAACCCTTGCAAATCAATTGTTTTGTTCAAAACATCAAATTACAGTGAAATACACACTTGGGGTATCCCCCCCTTCAAACCCTTCAGATTTTTTTTAGGTCGGGGGGGGGGGGGGGGGTGCCCCCCTGAAGCCTTCCCTGTTCTTGAAAACAAGTGGAATCTTACTGAACCTTTGCCAGAACCACAGCAGAGGAGAACAGGGGACATAGCTTCGATTCACATCACTGACATGCAAGTACTGCGACAGAATCTGCGCGAAGAATTAGCCATGAAAGAAGCTGCATCAAGACAACCTTGAGACCATCTTAATCTTTTTTAAAGCTAAATTGACCGTCTGCATTGACGAAAAGAGCCATACTTTTGAATCAATGTTTTTTAAATCCACAACGAAGTGTTTTGGAAAACTCAAAAGGTGTTGTGTCAAAAATAAAAATTCAATCAGATTTGCCTAACAGGCGAAAAAATGTTTTTTTCTTTGGTTTCATTATTTGGACCGGGAAATGAAAGAGCTGATGCTCTGGCAAAGAAAGGAGCTAGTCTCCCTCAGCCTGAAATTCCTACGAATTACACCACCTGCTGCCAAATGATCAAGTCAAACTTCAAGGAAGACTGGATGAACGATTGGGCCACAGGTATGACAGGAAGGAGGATGTATGGCCACATGAATAAACCACTGGTCAAAGATCCAATCAATGAGTTGAGGAGGGGAGATCAATCCATAATCTTCCAACTTAGAACACAACATGTACCCCTCAACCAACATCTCAACCGAATTGGAGTAAAGCAGTCTGCTGCCTGCCCACTATGTGACTACCCCTCAGAGACAGTGGAACATCATCTGTTTTTCTGTAGAAAACTAACTGATTTAAGGGGATGTTTTCTTCCCAAGCTACCCCACACATCTAATTGCCTCTACTCCTCAAGACAACAGTTAGAACAAACATGCAACTATTACCGAATGGCATCATGCAGAAGAGTTAACGCTCAGATGCTACTGGATCGCTAACAACAACAACAACAACAACAACAACATTATTTGGACAAACGCATTTCTCCTGGATGCCACATATTTGTTTGCACTTCAAAGATTGATCAGGGGCAAGTGGTGCTACTCTGGTGCTCATGTTCCTAGGATGAATCTTGTTCTTTATGTGTATAGAAAGAGAATGTTCTTTTAAAAAGTTGGATGAAGACTGTAGTGAATCAAAGACCTCTGGCTTTTCATGACCTTGGTGCTCCAGTGGCCGAGCTCTTAGGGAGCCCAGACTCAGAAAAAAGTCAAGCAAATGTCGATGACACAGTTTTTAGATGGATGGTCACTGGGTTGTGTCCTTGAGAAAGACGTGATGACCCTGGCTCAGAAAAACAGTGTGCTGCTCCGTGGCGCTCAGCATAATGTAAAATTGTCTGGTGAAATATTGCCTGTCTGGTATTTGTGGTGTATTTATTCGCTTATTGCCTGTCTGGTATTGGTTGTGTATTTATTCGCTAGTTGTGATGTTGTAGGTTTGCCTCCGGAACCCAAATTACCCCAAGGGGATTAAATAAAGTGCAATTTTTAAATTTATATTTGTCAATTTATTTCAGAAAATGGTCCGAGTTACTCCACCTCAGGCCCCAGCTCGTACTCCAGCGCCCCCTACACATCGGGCTTTGGTCCAGAGGACGTGGAGAGGTACTCAACCTCTGAGCCAGCACAGACCTCCGGGGCAGTGGAAGCCTACAGCACTTCAGGCCAGAGCAGTGCAGGCCAGGGATTTCTACCTTGCCCTATTCCTTCATTCTCTGGCTCTTGGAAGGATCTGCCGCAGTCCGGAAGAAGCAGACAAGATTCCCCTGAACTGCTCCCTCCGATATCTGGACTTCCAAAAGCTCGAGTCAAAGAGATCAGAGGCTCCAGTGCCCCCTCGTATGAGCCCACCCCAAAAGTCAAGATTCAGCCAGCAGTGAAAAACGGCGTCCCAACGTACCAGCCAACGCCAAAATCAAAACATGGGGAAGGAAGAGCTCGCCCTAGCCACTCTCTAGAATACGACCCTGTGAGCAACTTTGCTTTTCAGCATCAACAGGACTCGGAGGAAGAAGATGAGAGTGCCAGTAAAGTTAGTGCAAGCGAGAGTGTCCGTGGTGCTAATGGCTGCCACCAGGGGGAGGCCTCGGGCCGTATGGCCGTCGCCAGTGAGGAGGAGGAGGGGGAGGAGGAGGATGTGTCGACCCAGCAGGAAGTGGAAGACGCTGATGGTGGAGAAAACAGCGCAGTGCTCGGTGATGGCGGGGACACGGAGAGTTCCCACGCGGCCCGTGCAGCGACGAGACAGAGTTCAACAGCCGTGCCGAGCTATGCAGAACTGCTAACTCCTTCGTCCTACTTTAAGAACGCGCTCAGTGGATACGGGAATGGGGGAGTGGATAAACCGCCAGACTCGAAGTCTCCTCCAACGAGTGTTCGGACGAGGTCTGTGGACGAGCCACGCTCCCGGCAACAGCTGTCAGTAAACCGCTCAGTGTCTCACAATGGTGGCTTATCGGGAAACACTAAAAAGACTTTGTCTCAAACTGATCAAGCGCATAATGACTCTAGATCTTCTTCCAAGTCTCATCATTCTTCTTTATCATCATCATCTTCATCTTCCTCATCGGCCCATGTACCTAAACAGATGAAAAGCGAGACCGGTTCATCATCAAAGAAGTCTTCAGTCTCACAAAGGAAATCAGTGGAGAAAAAATCATTACATACAGGGAGGGGTAGTACTAAAGTGTCCAATTCATCATCATCTTCTTCATCATCAGGTTCTAAAACATCATCATCATCATCATCTTCGAAATCAGGTTCTAAAACATCATCATCGTCATCATCTTTGAAAACCCCTCATCTAATTTCGTCTTCAAAAGAATGTGAAAGAAGGCGGCCGTCTACCTCAGATTCCCACCACAGATCCCACTCCGGCGACCGGGCGGCTGGTGACACTTGGCCTTCTGGAGAGGACGACAAAGGATCTTCCAAAGTGTCGGGAAATCAAAGCAGTTCCTCCTCCTCCCATTGGTCCAAGTCCAGGCAGGGTGGCAGGTCAGCGGAAAGTGGACGGTCAAGTTCTGAGGTACGGCACGGTTCCTCTAAGGGAAAACACGGGCACAGCTCCTCCTCCCACCTGGACGGTCAGAGGAAGGAGGGGAAAAGTCCACGGCACAAGGATCCCAAAGTCCAGCAGAATGGAGGTGTTCCGGAGGTGAAGACAGAGAGGGGGGACACTGCTGGGAGTGAGGGGAGGGGCCAGGGTGGGGAGAAAGTTAGTAAGAAAGTGTCGGGGAGCCAGTACTCTTCTGTCGCTTCCAAAGGACACTTGGTCAAAAAGGAAGGGAAAGAAAGCAGTGTTCGACCAACAGAGAAGATGTTGAGCCAGACTTCAAAGACAGGCTCTGGCAATACCGACAGGAAAGTGGCGGGCAAGTCAGTGAGTTCAGCTCAGCGACGTGTTAGTCAAGTGAATTCTCATTTGTTCGGGGACAACAGCGCCCTCTCGGGATCCGACTCGGATGTGGAAATAGTGGAGCCACCGCCCCAGCCTCCCCCGGAGATCCTGGAGCTCAGCGACGATTCTGACAACGAAGACAGCACTGGGGGCTTCCCCGATGATGTAGATCTGGGGTCCGATTCCGATACCTTTGACGAATGTTTGAGGATTTTTCAGGAAAATGAAAGAAAGATGGCAAGAGAGGCACTGCAGAAGAAAGTGAAGCTGGAAACGTTCAAAGAAGAGGTGAGATCATTATTTTGTCTCCGAACCATAGCGTCATTCAACAGTGTTGTATGTCAAACTATGTACCGTGTTGTATGTCAAACTACGTACCATGTTGTATGTCAAACTACGTACCATGTTGTATGTCAAACTACGTACCATGTTGTATGTCAAACTACGTACAAACTACGTACCATGTTGTATGTCAAACTATGTACAAACTACGTACCATGTTGTATGTCAAACTACGTACAAACTACGTACCATGTTGTATGTCAAACTACGTACCATGTTGTATGTCAAACTACGTACCATGTTGTATGTCAAACTACGTACCATGTTGTATGTCAAACTACGTACCATGTGTATGTCAAACTACGTACAAACTACGTACCATGTTGTATGTCAAACTACGTACAAACTACGTACCATGTTGTATGTCAAACTACGTACAAACTACGTACCATGTTGTATGTCAAACTACATACCGTGTTGTATGTCAAACTACGTACAAACTATGTACCATGTTGTATGTCAAACTACGTACCGTGTTGTATGTCAAACTACGTACCATGTTGTATGTCAAACTACGTACAAACTATGTACCATGTTGTATGTCAAACTACGTACGGTGTTGTATGTCAAACTACGTACCATGTTGTATGTCAAACTACGTACAAACTATGTACCATGTTGTATGTCAAACTATGTACCATGTTGTATGTCAAACTACGTACCGTGTTGTATGTCAAACTACGTACCGTGTTGTATGTCAAACTACGTACCGTGTTGTATGTCAAACTACGTACCATGTTGTATGTCAAACTACGTACAAACTATGTACCATGTTGTATGTCAAACTACGTACAAACTACGTACCATGTTGTATGTCAAACTACATACCGTGTTGTATGTCAAACTACGTACAAACTATGTACCATGTTGTATGTCAAACTACGTACCGTGTTGTATGTCAAACTAGGTACCGTGTTGTATGTCAAACTACAACACGCTTGATATGCGCCTCATGAACTAGGACATACTTGATTGATTGTCTTTTTTCAGAAATGTTGACCTACTACACTGTTGACGGACAGTGACGATAGAAATACATACATACATTATATATATAATACTTAATTAGTCGTGAGCGGTTTGCAGGTGCTTAACAGAGGTCTGCTCGTCCATCTTTCCTATCAAACATCTGTCATTCTGTCTATCTCTCTCTCTCTGTCGTTCTGTCTATCTCTCCTTCTTCTTTTCTCCCTCTATGTTTCTCTCTAGTGAAACTTCTTGTCTTCAGCACCTCGGTGACCTTATTGTGTTGCATGTGCCGTAAAACTCTTACTAAAGCTAAAAGCAAGGCTCTAGCTAAGCCATGACTACGTGTCTCTGCCCCCTCCCACATGTGCTGCTGTCTCACACTCACACACGCACTCGCGCACACACAGACACACACACATACACGCACTCACACACACATACACACTCACACACTCAAACACACACATACACACACTCACATACACACACTCACACACACACACACATGCATACACTCACACACACATGCACACACACACATACACACACACACTCACACTCATACACACTCACACACACACACACATACACACTCTCACACACACATACGCACACTCACACACACATACACACACTCACAAACACACACACTCTCACTCACACACATACACACTCACATACACACACTC